GAAAGCAGTATATGGTTTATAGGAACTGACTGCACAGGATCGTTTGGGCTTGAAATCACCGGTCAGTATTAAGAGCTGGGCATGCCAAGAAGATAAGCATGGCCCAACAATGGCTCTTTCTTAGTCTATCTAATGCTTTCCATTCCCTTGGCCCTTTCTTAGTATATCTGAGACCGCTACAACTTTTAGTTACCATAAATATTTGAGACCAGTGAGCCATTATCACAATATTCTTTAACCTGTTGCTAGATACAATTCTTTCAAGTTTTTACCTTTCTATTTAATCTCTAGTTGGTCTTTAAGGAGGCATATTTATTGGCATATTTGGATATCCAGGTTATATTATTTTTGTAAGTGAATTTTTCTTTGCTTTGGAATCTGACCTGTGAAGTTGGGCCACTTACACAATTATTTGAGCCCCACACCTTTCAAAGGGAGGTCTTTGATGCCTCTTGTCATTGTGCAACATAGCCCAAGAGCAAACTCCTTGATTTTAACCCCCATCCACAGTCTAAAGAGGGAAGAGAACGGGCATGCACGTGTTTTCACCTTTATCAGAAAGAGAACACCACCAAGCGCCTCAGACGCCAGCTCTGTGCCTCTCCTCCAATACAAGTACCCAGATTTTCAGTTTTCCAATCCTTTGCTTTCTGTCATGGTTTTGCCACTGTTGTATGAATGGCTGAAGATAATGTTATTCAGTTCAACCTAAGTGTGATTTTAATATGATGAATCATTAGTCTTTGATGCATTATGTAATTATCTTCTTGTATACTTTTTGTTCGCTTTTGTTTTGGAAGTGGTTTTGCTGTCCGCCTAGAAAGTTACCCCCAGCGTGTTGCTGTTGTAATAAACGACTGCTTGTCCTTGCTCGTATGACACAAGTCTTCGTTCGTTGAAGGCAGTGTAGGGTATGTGGAAGGACAGTTCCTTGTGACACAGTTAACTGCTCTTTTTCCCTCTTACTTGTCTATTCTGACTCCAGGAGCTGATAAATAAGAGTGCCCTGTCTGTTCCCAGTCTGCCTTCTTGGTTTCTTGTGCTGGTACTAGTATTATTATTATTATTATTTTACTCATTTGTACTGGGTGTCGCATTTGGAGGAGGTGCTAGTGGAAAAGACTGCCCTCTACCCAGTAGATGATTGGGTTCCATTTCTCATTGGTCTGGGACATGTTATTGCCTGAAGGGCTCTACATCTAGCAACAGAGGCAAGGAAGGGATGGTGCCTTTTTCTGGATTTCATAACATGGTTTGTTTTCATGAAACTGGAGTTTACTATAGGCTTGAGTAATTTGTTCCTGTTTTATTTGCTTAAATCAGACTCAGTTCTACTATCAGCAATATGTATTTCAGCCTGACCCTGATATAGGGTGGCTTTTCAGTAGGGGCGAGTTTGTGTGCTTTGCTAGGCTATGAAAAGACCAGACTTCCCGGTCTGATAGAAACTGGTGGAACCCTGAGTTTATGGCTCTTAGGCATCCTTCAATTGAAGGTTGAAGAAACTGAACTTCCTCTGGGGATCAACTTTCAAATGCAGACAGGCTTATAAAGTGAAAAACACCATCACCGAGGAGCCTGTTTCTCAGTATAATCAACCAAAAGAGACAGACCCAAAGGGCAGCATTTTCCCAAAAGCTAACTTCAAAAGGCAGAAAAGAGGAAAGCCTAGAAACAGGAACTCAGGGAGGAACAATACTGCTACTTTACGGGAACTAAAAACAATGTATGTAAATTGTTGAATGGAAAACTAATTTATCCTGTCTACCTTCACCTAAACTATAACAATTTTAAGTATTTTTCATAATAAAGAATGGAACCATTTTGAATGAGATCTTTACTTCCATTTCCAGTTAATAATAATAAAGCTATTAAATTAGAAGCAGCCTTTTGTCATTACCTAATTTTTAAGTCAATAGATATTAAATTAGAACTGCTTTCTCATTGTGACTCTCAACATTTAAATCTTCCCACAGTGCTGTAGCCATGACCATACCCTCTGGGATATGATTTAACTTCTAATCCTTCAAAACCATTTCTTCATCCATTCTGGTTTGGAAAAGTGGGACAGTTAACAAACCATAAATGAATATGATCATTAAAAAATAACAAAAACCCTCACTCATTCTTAACGAGGTCTTAAGTATAAAACAGTATCTGCCTTTAATTAATTTTTCATGTTATCTGATTGAGTTAAATTTTAAAAATTCAACACTTTTAATCTACTGGACCTTGAACTTCATCAGGCAATTCCTGCAGAAGTTGGTGAGAATGTTGACTAATTGGGCTATTGGTCCCATATGGGATGACACCACCTTCTGAATCAGTTCCCTGCGATTGCAACATGTTTTGTTCTCTTCCTTATTTTCCTTTTTTTTGTAGAAACCATCCATTTGGGTCTATCACATGGACAGTCGTCGGGCTTGTTTGTGAAGAGAGTGAAGTCACATGGTCAGGGAGATCCTGCAGCTGCTCACAGAGGCAGGCCATGAGGGCCATCACCCTGAGACTCTGAAATGCCGCTTTCCTAGTCGCGAGGCCATTTTACTGTAGTCCCCAGGGAGACTGACTCAGCCTTATTTTGCTTCCTACATGTTGAGCATAGATAGACATCATTTTGTTGAACTTTTGCTGTTAAATCAGCTTTTTCTTGAGGTACAATAGTTTTCAGACAGTCCCCAGATTATGAACATACTCTGTTCCCAAGTCAACTCAAATTTGTTCATGAGTTGGAAGCAGTAGGTATTGTTTGTATCTAACTTCAATCAGTCGAATGTTTGCCTCAGTGTGTGTGCTATGTATTTTATGTCAATGCATAAAGAGCATCTTTCAAATAACAATATAGTAATCATGACAATGTTTTGATGTGCATAGTAAAGTGGTGTATTATTATAAACCTTTGAACACACCTCACATGGTAAACAATCGTGGGGAAAAATGCAGGACCAGACCAGGCTGCGTTCATTCTGTTGTACACAGGCTTGCTGTGAGTCGGAGGAGACGCATCAGCACCTGACAGCAGCAGGCTTTATAGCGATTATACAGATGGTTGTAAAGCAGATGTTCATAACCTGGGGATTGCCTGAAAAATACTCAGAGAAAATACTCAAAGACTAAGGCATAAGAAGGCAACCAGTTGTAAGCAGAGCACACCTGTGCCATCAGCGCCCAGCCAGGAAATGGCCAGTACCTCAGAAACGATGCTCTCCCTCTCCTGCCCCTGAGCCGCCTTACCAAGGTTCAACGATATCCTTGTTGGCTTGCTTTTATACTTTATATAAATAGAATCATGGAAGACAGATTATTTTGTCCCTGATGTATTTCACTCTTCATTGTATCTAGGAGATTCACCCAGATTTTATATTTATTTGGGTGTGTTCAGTCTTACAACTAAGTAGTGCAGTGGTCCACTGATGGCTACAACACAATTTATTCTTTCTACTGTTGCCAGATAGGATGGTGGTTTCCCTGTTTGTTTCTTGAAGGGGTGAGGAAATGTTATGAATAGTATGTAGTGAATACTCTAGCACATAGCTTTGTGGAAGTGCACACTCACGTGTACACATGCATGGGCGTGCTCACACAAACATTTACTTTGAATGTGGAATTAAATGATAGTGCAGTTTTCCCATAAACTTTCTGAAGCTCCATGATATACCTAGAAGTAGAATTGCTAGGGAACGGAGCATGCATATACTCAGATGTAGCAGACACCGTCAGTTTTCCCTGGAAGTTGATGTGCTAGGACAGCACTATTTAAGAATTCCAGTTGCTCCATCTCCTCGCTGATATCTGGCACTCTCTGCCTTTTTCATTTTAGCTGTATTGCTAACTATGTTACAATGTGGGTTGATTTACATTTCCCTGATAATAATGAAGCTGAGCATCTTTTCAGGTGGCTGTTAATACGTGTGTCTTTTTGTGTGAAGTATTTGTTCAAATCCATTGCCCATTTTTCTATGAGTTGGCTGATTTTTTTCTTACTGTCTCATAGGTTTTCTTGTAATTCGAATAGGGGTCCTTTGTGCAAATATGGATTGTGATATTTTCTCCCCCTCTGCAAGTTGCCTTTTTAATTTCTTAGTGGGGTTTTTTTGATGAACAGATCATTTAAGTTCTTAAAAATTCAAACTTTCTACTGTTTTGTAGTTTGTGCTTTTTGTGTCCTGGTTAGGAATTGTTTCCCAACTGCACGTTGGCAAGGCTGTTCGTCTAGGGTGTCCTATACCATGGTTATTTAGATCTCTAGTGCATCTGAGTTGATATTTATATTGTCTGACATAGAGATCACAGACTTCCTACTCAACCACCCAGATAGACACCTTATCAACGTAGTATAATATATTTTATATTTTTCTGAAGATAATCACTACTTCTTGGGAAAAAATTTATGGATATTTGAATTTTGTAATAGAATCTCTAGCTTTGTTTAGCATGTGTGTAAATTGAAATCACTCTTAAAATTCTTTCGGTTCTATCACTTAGCCCCTAGTTTGTAAATGAAGCATGTTTACTTACTCAGCACTGGAGTAATTTGTAATGCACAAACCAGTCATGAAAAAATATAGTCATTTCGCATTTTAATTACATTCAACATGTGTTTACTAAAATGTAAGACAATTCAGAGTATTACTGAAGTTTTTCACTCCATTTTTATATCATTTTGGTTTTAAGCCCTATAATAAGGTTGTCAAATATCTGTCGGTAATAAGCTATTTTTATGTAGAACTCCCAGATGGCAGTGAGTTAGGTTAGGCTAGGAGCATTAAGAAAGAGAGGTACAAAATGAAGACTCTTCTTACTAGTAGGACGGCCTTAGACCCTTATCTTATATCTTTCGACTTTTCCTATTCACAAGGACAAATATCTTCTAAGGCAGAAAAGCAGAAAAGAAAACAAAAGTTTCATTTCTGTATTTGGAAGGCCTATGAATGCTCCCTCATTGATGCCATTCCTGCTTAGCTTTATTTATGTTTTCCTCTTGTCCTTGTTTGTTCTAGGTTGTACTCGTCAGTGGACATCTGGACAGCTGGGATGTCGGGCAAGGTGCCATGGATGATGGTGGTGGAGCCTTTATATCCTGGGAAGCACTCTCGCTTATTAAAGATCTTGGTAAATATTTGGAACACATTAGCCAATGTGTAAGGGCAGCTCATAGTCAAGACTTACCTCCAACACACAACATGCTTAACTGTTTAGTTAGTGGGGTGCATTTGAAGAACTTCCTGAGGTCTTGTCAATTGAGTCCCAGAAAAGAGCTAACTTATCACCATAAAGAAAAACAGTTTTATTCATGTGTCCTCTAGATATCCAAAGTATCAAATATTATCATCAGCTACTGGGGGAAATGAACACGCAAACACACCCGAAGCAAATGCAGCTACACGACCAGAGATATGTAAGGAAACTAAGGCCAAGTGCACAGAAAAACCAGCAGTGCCTTTACTGATTTCCTTTGTTCATCTCTAAGGTCTTATGATGCTGTGAGGAGAACTTGGTGTCTTCCTGTGATAGAAGTTGAACAGAGCAACCCAGGACTGAAGGGGTGATTCTTTTCATCACAATAAGGAATTAGGCAAAAATTTGGGGGCATCCTACATAAACCTAGACAGGAGGAAGATGGACAAGTATAGAAAGGTCAAGTTAACAGTGGTAGGAGGAGACCTGGTAGTGCAATTGTTAAAAGCTCAGCTGCTAACCCAAAGGTCACAGGTTCTAACCTACCAGCTTTCACCAGGAGAGAGAGATGGTGGTCTGCTTTGGCAAGATCTCCAGGCTTGGAAACCCAATCAGGGAAGAGCGAGTCTGTTCCATTGGGTTGATCTGAGTCAGAATGGACTGTCACAGGGGGTATGCTTTTTGGCTGAATAGTGAGAATGGAGTCCCTAGATTGTGTGGTTGGTGACCATGTTTGGCTGTGGACTGAGAGGTTGGAGGTTGAAATCCATCTAGAAGTGGTTCAGGAGAAATGCCTGAGTATCTACTGCAGGAGCATCAGGCCCTGAAAACCCTACGGTGGAGCACAACTCTACTGCTCTGACACTTAACAGCATCATCGTGAACTGGGGTAGATGCATAGCAATAGCGATCTATTTTGAGTGTTCCTGGCTATTTGGAGTGATGGTAGTTTATTTTGCTGATCTCATTTAAAAATGAGAAAAACACTTCCTTTGAGCTGGTCAAGATGGTGTTTTTTGAGTGAGGTCAAAAATAATTAGTTTAATTCAACCAGAAAACTGTCTGGAGTGAGAGTTCCTTGTCTGAATCAGACCAGTGGTGGTTTTAAAACGCCTCATCAGCAGAATGTCTTATCTCTCAGCTGTGGTGTGACCTCAGTTTCAGACCAAGTAAAGTTTGAATCATTGTCTTTGGTGAATGCTTTCTATCTTTTCCTAATTACATATATGTTTAAATTATGCTTTTACTCTGTCAGTTCATGAGCTTGTCTGATCCTGTAAATCAGACTATCAGTTATCTTCATCTACTTAAAAGTCGACAAAACAAAGCAAACAAACTTACTGCCATCAAGGTAATTCTGACTCATGGAGACCCTATAGAATGGAGTAGAACTGCCCCTATGGATCCTAAGACGGTAACTCTTTATGGAAGTAGAAAGCCTCAACCTTCTCATCCCCAGTGGCTGGTGGTTTCCTACAACCTGTGGTTTGCAGCCCAATTGTCATCCTTAGGAAAATTTTTTAGGGTTACCATTTTGATTTATACTTTATTTGTGTTTTTATAAATACATGTAAGTGACACAGTGCATGTCGGCATCATTACCGCTGGCACTTGGGGCTGGGCACTCCTTTGTCGGACGGGGTTGTGGCATACACTGGAGGATGTTCGACTCCACACCTGTCCTTACACACACACCCCACTTCCCAAATTGTGCCACAAATCTCTACAGCTATTTCCAGAGGTCCCCTGAGGGAAAAACTTGTTCCAGTCTGAAGCCATTAAAACATTACCCATGAGAAATCCCTAGGCAACTTGCATTTAACTACAAAAGATTGAAAAAAGAAGAAGAAAAGGAAGAACAAAACTTCAATGAAAACCTAGCATTTTGTATACTTTTAACATCATTAAAGAGTCACTGAGCGCCTCTTACGTGGACGCACTTCATGCAAGCTTGACCTAGAAAGAGGTTTAAGCCGTGGCCTCTGTTCTTTACCAGGGTTTCTTCTGCTTTTTTCGCCCGCCATTCCTTTTCACCCAAGAAATTCATCACACAGACAGGTGCTGCCAGAACACCTGGGATTCATGACGTGTTTGATTTCGAATTAACGTTTGGTCACGTGCATTCAGAAACCCTTCACTGTCGCCAAAATTTTCCTGACTGCCAAGTTATGCAAACCCAAATGGAGTCTCGACCCATGTGTTCAGAAGCTTCACTTTAGACCCTTACAGTTGAGCTGCAGACGAGCACACACACATACACACACACACACACACACACACACACACACACACATTTATTCTATAGATGAAAAGTCCACGTCTGCTTCTGCATCAAGCTTGGTTATGGCTGATAGGGACTAAGTGTCCACCAATAAAACCCGAGAGCACATGGCTTCTGAGAAGGCCGGGGGCCCTCTGTGTGAGTGCCCCCCTCATTTCCTGCCCCTGGGGTACCTCTTTCCTCTCTCCTAACTTTCAGTCTGGAGTGAAGTGGATTCCAGAGTAAAGCAGTGTAATAGTCTGGGTACTTTGGAGAAACAAATCCACGGCGACTCACGTATAAGAGAGAGTTTTATGTAAAGAAAATGTGCATCACGAAAACATCCCAACCCAATGCTGCCCAAGCCCACAAGTCCAACATTAACCCATACCCAACACCAGTCCACAAAGACCTCCACCTCACAAAACAGAGGCAATTGTGCTGACTGCAGGAGGAAAGCTGAGTCAGTGAACGTGTAAGCATCTCAGCACTGGCAGGGGTCTCCACATGGCTGCTCCAGCACCGAGGGCTGCATCGGGATAGATCCATGCGGCTTCTCCTTGGGGATGTCTTGTAGGAAATCCATCTTGCAAGCTGAAGCAGGGAACTGCTAAGGCAGCTGCACCCGATGCAACCATCACAAAACAAGAGACCCGAGAACTAGAAAGGCGAGGCTTCACCACCCATTTATCCCTCCGCCTTTCAACCAGACCCACGTGATTATCGGCCAGGCTGGCACAATTAACTAACTCAAGCAGACATGTTCATTCTTTCCCCCTCCGTTTTTGGGCACAGATACTGATTTGTGAAGTGAACGTGATCTTCGTGTGTCAACCCAGCTAGCTGGACACACAGAGGTAGAGCATGAAAAGAATACGAGGGACATCTGAAGTGGATTGGGGGCCCTTTGGTGCCCAAGATTCTCTTCATGGCCACAAACCGATGTTTTCAAAAACAAAGCAGAAAGAAATTCAGTGCCATCAAGTTGATCCCAACTCATGGAAGCCCTAGAGGATGAGTAGAAATGCCCAGTAGGGTTTCCAAGGCTGGAATCTTTTCAGCAGCAGACTGCTCCATCTTTCTCCGGTCGAACAGCTGGTGAGTACAAGCAGCTGAGTTTTCAACACTGAGCCATTGATGCCCCGCCCACTTTTTGGAGCTCAGGCGGGTCCTGTGAAACCCTCTGGGCTTCATTTTCCTCATCTCTTTTCAACTGTGTGCCACCTAAGTATTTCATCTGCTCTCTCTCTCACTGCTATCCAGTCAATGCCAACACATAGCAAGTGACCCTATCAGGCAGGGTAGAACTACCCCTGTGATTTTCTGAGACTGGAACTCTTTACAGAAAACCCCATCATCTGCTCTGTCTAGATTGGAATAAATGTGTCCTGCACTGGACCTGAAATCTCTTATCTCTCATACTCAGCACAGCACCCTCCATCACTGTTACTTGAGTTGGATTTGATTACATGGGTCAAAGGTGAGCATCATGCAAAGATGACGGGTATTCACAAGTACATTGATTTCAGTTGTTTTTACATAGCTGATAATAGGTCTTCTTTAATTCAGGACTGAAATCTCCCATAGATTTCTGAAAACCTATGTAAATATATATTGAATAAAAATAAGAAAATAAAGAGTAATATCTTCTGGGTAAGTGTTAAGAGACATCTGGGGCTCTTTTTTAAAACATGGATTTCTAGAGCCAGACTACTCACTAACAAACCCATGGCAACTCTATGTAGGATTTCCAAGATTGTAAATCTTTATGGCGACAGGTAGCTTCATCATTCTGCTATGGAGGAGCTGGTGGTTTTGAACCTCAAACTTTGGGTTATTAAACCAATGCTCATCCAGCAGTGGAACCCAGACTAAACCAAATATCAACTTTACTGCCATAGAATCGATTCCAACTCATAGTGACTCAAGGTAGAACTGCCTCTGTGGGTTTCTGAGACGGTAACTCTTTACAGAAGTAGACAGCCTGTCTTTCTCCTAATGAACAGCTAGTGGTTTCAAACTGCCGACCACTATTAGTAGCCCAATTCATAACTCGTATGCCACCAGAACCTGCAAGATCAAATCCTGGCAAATTACTGGCTATGTGACAGGCAAGTTACTTTGCTTCTGGGTGCCTCAATTTCTTCATCTGTGAAATGCAGAAAATAATGGAACCTATCTCATAAGTTTGCTTTGAAAATTAAATAACCTATCCACAAATAGGATTACCATGAGTCAGAAATGACTCAAAGACATTGAGCTTTTTTTCTGTTTGTTTTTTTAAATACTCCGCATGATATACTTAAAACAGAGCCTGACCAAAGCTAAAATCCACCAAACTGAGCCCGCTGTCCTTGAGTCGATTTGGACTCAGAGTGGCCTTATATAGGGTTTCCAACATTATAAATATTAAGGGAGCAGACAGTGTTTTCTTTCTCCTGAGAAGCAGCTGGTGGATTGAACTGCTGCTCTTCCAATTAGCAGTCCAACACTTACGGTACCTGACAGTGTCAGCAGGACTAAGTATCCAGTCAATGTGAACGATCATTATTTCATAAGCATGACTCTGAAAATAGCACATTTTTATGACACTGTCGTGCATTCAAGTCTCGTGACCGTAGAGGATGGAGTAGAACTGGCATTTGGGGTTTCTAAGATTGTTGAACCTTTATGG